TCAGTCACTGACATGAACTTTATGTCACTGACATGAACTTTCAGTCACTGACATGAACTTTCAGTCACTGACATGAACTTTCAGTCACTGACATGAACTTTCAGCCAGCCCCATGACATGAGCTTGGAGAACAGTCACTGGCATGAACTTTCAGTCACTGACATGAACTTTATGTCACTGACATGAACTTTCAGTCACTGACATGAACTTTCAGTCACTGACATGAACTTTCAGTCACTGACATGAACTTTCAGTCACTGACATGAACTTTCAGTCACTGACATGAACTTTCAGTCACTGACATGAACTTTCAGTCACTGACATGAACTTTCAGTTATTGGCATGCACTTTCAGTTACTGGCGTCTACGGATGCTGTTAGATTTGAATCAGTAACATCGTCAAAACAAAAACAAAACAGAAGTCAAAACAATAACTTTCGCATGTTCAGGATGTGCATTTTAAAACAAGGGGTGTGGGGGGGGGGGGTGAATTAGGCGGAAAAGGGGGGGGGGGGCTATGGTGGGGGTAGGAGGATTAGGCAGAGGAAATGAGGTTGTGGGGAATTGGGCGGGGAAGTATGGGGGCGGGGTGGGTGGTGGGGGTAGGAGGATTAGGCAAATTTCCGAGAACATGGTGCTGTTGGTGGGGAATTGGGCGGGGAAGTAGGTCATGACTTGTGGGTGGTTATATATCCAGATAATGCAAATTTCCGAGACATGGTGCTGTTGGTGAACAAGTTTGTTCTGTCGTAGGTCATGACTTGTTGACTGTCAACAGTGTCCATATTCACTCCAGAGCCACATTGTTTGTCCCAGCTTCGCCATTGTCTTCTCTATACCTTAGAGACAATTCGCCCATGCCATTCCTTGTTTGTTGTCTTAAAGACCACTGTACATATGTACCACATTAGTTGTGTACGTCTGTTTTGTGTGTGGTTACGTATATCTGTCTGTTTTGTGTGTGGTTCCGTATATCTGTCTGCCTGTGTGGTTCCGTATATCTGTATGTCTGTGTATGTTTCCCAGCAGTTTTACAGCTCCATCAACGTCGATAAATCTCTTGTGTCTGTACCCGCTACCTTCTGTTACTTCCAGCCCATCTCTGATTGTAACTGATATTGTGTTTGCATTAGCCAGAACTAGATGGACGGATCCGATAAATCAATCAATACATCTGCTGTTATTGATTAATTATTGATTAGATGTCTATCAACAACAGCAGATCGCCTTAATGGCTGTGGCTCTGACCAAAGATGTTGCTTGGAGTCCTTAGTCTGATCGGCTTAGAACATTCCAGGGAGGGTTAGTTCATTCTTGCGCCTATTTGTGTCAGCTGATCCAGTCAGCTCTCGGACTTCATGTCCAGTTCTGGCAGCATGCAGGATCATGAGGTCTTAGTCTCACGGGTTGGAGTTAGGGGCGAGGGGGGGGGGAACACTCAAACCTCGCATGCAGGATAGTGAGGTCTTAGTCTCACGGCGGTAGAGTTGGGGGTTAGGGACACTCATACCCCGCATGCAGGAAAGTGAGGTCTTAGTCTCACGGGTTGGAGTTAGGGCCCAGGAACTCAAACCTCACAGGAAAAACAAGATGTACAAACAACCAAACTGCTAGTGGCACCATGAACACTACAACTATTGGCTGAGTATGCTCCGAGTACTGTGATGTCGATTCTATCTATCTATCTATCTATCTATCTATCTATCTATCTATCTATCTATCTATCTATCTATCTATCTATCTATCTATCTATCTATCTATCTATCTATCTATCTATCTATCTATCTATCTATCTATCTATCTATCTATCTATCTATCTATCTATCTATCTATCTATCTATCTATCTATCTATCTATCTATCTATCTATCTATCTATCTATCTATCTATCTATCTATCTATCTATCTATCTATCTATCTATCTATCTATCTATCTATCTATCTATCTATCTATCTATCTATCTATCTATCTATCTATCTATCTATCTATCTATCTATCTATCTATCTATCTATCTATCTATCTATCTATCTATCTATCTATCTATCTATCTATCTATCTATCTATCTATCTATCTATCTATCTATCTATCTATCTATCTATCTATCTATCTATCTATCTATCTATCTATCTGTCTGTCTGTCTGTCTGTCTGTCTGTCTGTCTGTCTGTCTGTCTGTCTGTCTGTCTGTCTGTCTGTCTGTCTGTCTGTCTGTCTGTCTGTCTGTCTGTCTGTCTGTCTGTCTGTCTGTCTGTCTGTCTATCTGTCTGTCTATCTATCTATCTGTCTATCTATCTATCTGTCTATCTATCTATCTGTCTATCTGTCTGTCTGTCTGTCTGTCTGTCTGTCTGTCTATCTGTCAGTCTGTCTATCTGTCGGTCTGTCTGTCTATCTGTCGGTCTGTCTGTCTGTCGGTCTGTCTGTCTATCTGTCTGTCTGTCTGTCTGCCCTGTCTATCTATCTATCTGTCTGTCTGTCTGTCTGTCTGTCTGTCTGTCTGTCTGTCTGTCTGTCTGTCTATCTATCTACCTACCTATCTATCTATCTATCTATCTATCTATCTATCTATCTATCTATCTATCTATCTATCTATCTATCTATCTATCTTCTATCTATCTATCTATCTATCTATCTATCTATCTATCTATCTATCTATCTATCTATCTATCTATCTATCTATCTATCTATCTATCTATCTATATATCTATCTATCTTCTATCTATCTATCTATCTATCTATCTATCTATCTATCTATCTATCTATCTATTATCTATTATCTATCTATCTATCTATCTATCTATCTATCTATCTATCTATCTATCTATCTATCTATCTAGTTCATATCTGCTTCTAATATGTCTGTCTGTCTGTCTGTCTATATATCTATCTATATGTATGTCTGTCTGTCTGCCCTAAACGCACACATATACACACACAGGAACACAAATACCCAGTTGTCTTAGCTTCTTTGCAAACAATTAATTTTAAAATAGTTTGCCGGGGCAGCCGTTTGCGTTCCATGTTGATAAAATGTCCGACAAGCTATAGTGCTGACATTTAGCCCACACCTGATTTGTAGATGACCATCTCATGTGGTCAACAAAGTGGTCATTTTCGATATCCAATATTTTATTTGGCTATTGCCTAAAATATTTGTCAGGTAAAGTAATCACATTGCCAAGGGAAATAATATCTTAATTGTCTTAAAGTATACCTATTTTCTCCGATGATGCCCAGCATAATTTCGTAAATATACTTTAATAATTACAATGTTTTGTATTTCGACATTAAAAAATTATATGTAAGACTTTGCGACCACTGTAGCATTTTATTTTTAAAGATTCTATTTCATAATAAGCTATCAGTCCAGTCACTGACGTCACGTCTATTATATAGAAGTCATTCCTAGCTGGGTACTCCTGGACAATTATTAGTTGCGTATCCTTTACAGGACGTTGCAGAACCAACCCCATTAACCCTGGCTGAAATTGTATTTTCGTCATAAAAAAATCTATGTGTGTTAGTGCAGTTAGAAAGAGTATGGTTTCCTGTCTTTCTTGGCGGCGATGATTCGGTTTGTAATACCATTGCCAAGCCAGTAATTAGCCGTTTCACCCCGGTGATCGGGAAAAAAGAAAGGTTTGTGGTTAAAGTGTCTAGCTTGGAATGTCCCGTATTCAGCTCACGATATAATGATCACCATGGACTCCACCCACCACCCCCGCCTTTTTTTTTAAAACAATGGGTCCCAGCTGAGCTCCTCTTGCAATGTTGTGGTTGCGTCCAGTGCTGAGCCGGTTTCCTGTATGCTAGGACATAGCAGAGTCTGCACAGGATTTGCTGGATTGGAGCAACAGACTATCGGCTTTGTGTGGCCTGCCATCATCATCATGCAGCAGGTCCCTTGCAGAACGTCGCTCTCATCATGGTCTGCCTGAAAGAAATTCGGTCTCTCGCTAGCTCTTCCGTCCCGTGTACATTAATATTCAAGGAGTCATTTATATCCAAACCCATCTTCGTATCGGTCAGCCCCTGCACCTCCTTCCTTGTACCATGCATTCAGCTATTATTTTTTCCCAATCCGCCATGTTGCTTGCTATGACCAAAAATTACCAGATTTCAGCTTTCGAGACAAGATGCTGTTTTTTTTTTTTTAAGTGTCAGTAGTTCTTCTCTCTTTTTTTTTTTAATTCCATGGCATTCTGAGAATGTTTTTATAGCATTTCAGCTGCAACCCTCTTAGCGACTGGGAGATAGCAGGATTTATGTGGCGTATAAACAACGATCACGCTAGAGGGGCTGGTTGTTGTCAGAGTGGAATTGTTTGTTTCGTTGAAATTATCGTTACTGACGTTTTTGAATCTCCAGACCAGGGCTGCCAAATATTGGATTATCCTCCAAGATTTGGGTTTTTATCTGACGCTTAGAGTTCACATTTTGGATTCTTAGGCTTTAAAAAAATATCCTTGTATAAAAAGGGTAAAATTTTCCTTTCGCAACTTTGAAATTTGTACTTTTTATAAATCTTGGGTTAAAATTTTAGTTATTTTGTTCTTAGCTCATCTATTGCTTGGGTATTACTATTTTTGTCAGCTTAGCTTGGGTAAAAAGAAGATGAGAAATATTGACATCTTAAAAGATCTGAACATCAAGAAAGATTGGCTAATAAACAGCATCCTTTCTCGAAAGCTGAAATATTTTGGTCATATCAAGCGCCACGACGGATTGGGAAAAAAATAATACCAGAAGGCATGGTACCAGAAAGGAGGGGCAGGGGCCGACCGACACGAAGATGGGTACAGGATATAAGTGACTCCTTGAGTGTGAAAGTTCATGAGGCGGGAAAACTGGCGAAAGACCGAGTTTCTTACAGGCAGATTGTGATGAGAGCGACGTTCTGCAAAGCACCTACTACATGATGATGATTATAGCTTGGGTATTGAGTAATTGACAACAATCCAATTGGCAGCCCTGCTCCGGACGCCGGGTTACAGACAAGATGGCGACTGAGAGTGGGGAAAGCCAGTGGTAGGAATATTTTTTTTTTTTAAATTGCATTTCTGCACATCTTTGCTGAGCTGTGTTTAGCATTTTTATTTGTTTGTTTCCATTGTAATTGTACATATTTCTTAGCTGAGTTGTGTATAACGGGTGATAGCCTCTTTATTTATTTGGTAATCCGTTTATGTATGTCAACAATGTGATTACAATGTGTTGTCACTAAGTCATCAGGGCTTAGTTGTGTATAAATCAGTGATCACTTGTGTTTGAATTACAAACACTGATACCTGCCACATACACTGATCCCTGCCACATACACTGATCCCTGCCACATACACTGATCCCTGCCACGATACACTGATCCCTGCCACGATACACTGATCCCTGCCACATACACTGATCCCTGCCACGATACACTGATCCCTGCCACATACACTGATCCCTGCCACATACACTGATCCCTGCCACATACACTGATCCCTGCCACATACACTGATCCCTGCCACATACAAAACTAAAACTGCTCTCCTTTAAATAACGGTCGCTAGCTGGAAAGCCGGCGGTCGCTTAGTCGGAGTTCACTCCCTTGGCTGCAGTGCAAATACGGAGTGGACGAGTCACGAATCAAAAACGAAAGTGAGGTCGACATGCCTGCTAGAGCTAGACCACGCGCTGCAACTGACAGTAGCGACCGGGCTGTGACTGACAGTAGCGACCGAGCTGTGACTGACGCAAGACTCTCGTAGACCACGCGCTGCGACTCACAGTAGCGACCGCGTTCTTGCACGACGCACGACTTAGTGACCGTAGATGTGAGACCTGCGGATCTGTATGTCGTAATGAGCGATAAGCTTCCGTCGTGTCCGTGATGTGTCACCCTAACCCTACCCCTAACCCTACCCCAAGTCCTAACCCAAGCCCTAAGCCTAACCCTAGGATGACAGGTAACTACATCATTTGTTTCGCTCCCTCTTTACCACTCTGTATTTGCACTGCAGCCAAGGGAGTGAACTCCGACTAAGCGACCGTCGGCTTTCCAGCTAGCGACCGGTATTTAAAGGAGAGCCAAAACATTGATCCCTACCTTATACACTGATCCCTACCATATAGTCTGATCCCTGCCATATGCACTGATCCCTGCCATAAAGGCTGATCCCTGCCATATACACTGATCCCTGCCATATACACTGATCCCTGCCATATAGGCTAATCCCTGCCATATACACTGATTCCTGCCATATAGGCTGATCCCTGCCATATACACTGATCCCTGCCATTTAGGCTAATCCCTGCCATATAGGCTAATCCCTGCCATATACATTGATCCCTGCCATATAGGCTAATCCCTGCCATATACATTGATCCCTGCCATATACACTGATCCCTGCCATATACACTGATCCCTGCCATATAGGTAGATCCCTGCCATATACACTGATCCCTGACATATAGGCTGATCCCTGCCATATACACTGATCTCTGCCATATAGGCTGATCCCTGCCATATAGGCTGATCCCTGCCATATACACTGATCTCTGCCATATAAGCTGATCCCTGCCATATAGACTGGCATGTGCGATGTTTTCTTGCATACCCTTAGACTGGCATGTGTGATCTTTTCTTGCATACCCTTAACTCTTTCAGGCCCATGAATTTTGACAGACTTGGCCCACATTAATTTCCCTTTACAAAAATGGCAGAGGGGTGGGTGTACAAGAAAGGCTATAGAGATTGTAATATACTTCTAATCCCCATAAAAGTATATATTTTTTAAAAGAGAAATGAATGGACATTTTGAATCTGATAATAAGTGTTTGTTAAATTTTGTTATAGTTAGTGGGAAAGAAGAATTCAGCAGGTGGTAATTTTACAAGGACAACATTTCACAAAAACATTCTTCACTTACCATGGTTTTGCAGCCACAAGAGTAGTAAATATCCAGATTTGAGAACAAAACTTTAAAGTTTGTTTAATTTCCTAACATATTCCTAAGTTATGATAACTTTATGGGTTACTTTAGCACTCAGGGGCTCTTAGTTCTCACTGAGTGCTAAGCAAAATTTTAGAGAGAAAAATGGCAGAAAAATGAGCCATTACACACACACTATTTACTGTTTACTTTGTACAGTTATTTACAGACTAGCTGTGATGATTTCAATGTAGCTTAGCCATATTATAGTACTGTCTCTTTGTTTAGAGCATTTTCCTTCTCTTACACCATAAATACGGTAATGTGGGACATTGTGTAATAAACTCATCAGAATCGCTGGAATCCGAACGGCTGTCGCTCAGCTTCACTATTGAAAATCCACCATCCGAATCACTTTCCGAAAAATCTAAATTTTTGTTATCATTATCACAATTAAAAACATCTGACTAAAACAATTTCAGAACTTCAGCCGCAGAAAGACGCATTCTGCGACCTGTAATTGTGGTTGAAACATTGGTATTCATGGCACTCAAAAACGAACTTAGAAAATGAACTGCTGTAAAAATTTTCTCTGTTTTTTTCTCGCAAATCATCTATGTGTGGTTAAGTCCAGGAAATGAAACTAAAAAGATTTCGGCAGAGTGACTTTTTCTGAATAGTTTAATCGTACCTCCAAACATTAGAAACTAGTACGAATGCGCGTGCGAAGCAAAATGTAAGGGACACACAATCGACGATGACACCGTTGTTTGGGCAAAACGGAACTTCTTAAACAATGCTCACATCGTTGTTTGGGCCTTAAAGAGTTAAACCAGTGTGATGTTTTCTAGCATACCCTTAACTCTTTGAGTCCCAAGGAACGCATCATACGTTCATAGGTTACTGCCTAGAAGCCCAATGAACGCATGATGCGCCGATTTTAGTCTCTTTTGACTACCACTTAGGACTGTGATGCTAAACCCTCTGGGGCTCAAAGAGTTAAACTGGCATGTGTGATCTTTTCATGCATACCCTCAGACTGGCATGTGTTATGTTTTCTTGCATACCCTTAAACTGGCATATGTGATTATTTCTTGCATACCCTTAACTGGCATGTGTGATCTTTTCTTGCATACCCTCAAACTGGTATGTGTGATATTTTCCTGCACACACTTAAACTGGCATGTGTGATCTTTTCTTGCATACCCTTAACAGGCATGTGCGATCTTTTCTTGCATACCCTCAGACTGGCATGTGTTATGTTTTCTTGCATACCCTTAAACTGGCATATGTGATTATTTCTTGCATGCCCTTAAAACTGGCATGTGTGATCTTTTCTTGCATACCCTCAAACTGGTATGTGTGATATTTTCCTGCACACACTTAAACTGGCATGTGTGATCTTTTCTTGCATACCCTTAACAGGCATGTGTGATCTTTTCTTGCATACCCTCAGACTGGCATGTGTTATGTTTTCTTGCATACCCTTAAACTGGCATATGTGATTATTTCTTGCATACCCTTAAAACTGGCATGTGTGATCTTTTCTTGCATACCCTCAAACTGGTATGTGTGATATTTTCCTGCACACACTTAAACTGGCATGTGTGATCTTTTCTTGCATACCCTTAACAGGCATGTGTGATCTTTTCTTGCATACCCTTAGACTGGCATGTGTGATGTTTTTTTGCATACCCTTAACTGGCGTGTGTGATGTTTTCTTGCATACCCTTAACTGGCATGTGTGATGTTTTTTTGCATACCCTTAACTGGCATGTGTGATGTTTTCTTACATACCCTTATCTGGCATGTGTGATGTTTTTTTGCATACTCTTAACTGGCATGTGTGATCTTTTCTTGCATACTCTTAACTGGCATGTGTGATCTTTTCTTGCATACTCTTAACTGGCATGTGTGATCTTTTCTTGCATACTCTTAACTGGCATGTGTGATCTTTTCTTGCATACCCTTAACTGGCATGTGTGATGTTTTCTTGCATACCCTTAGACTGGCATGTGTGATGTTTTCTTGCATACCCTTAACTGGCATGTGCAATCTTTTCTTGCATACCCTTAACTGGCATGTGTGATGTTTTTTTGCATACTCTTAACTGGCATGTGCGATGTTTTCTTGCATACCCTTAACTGGCATGTGTGATCTTTTCTTGCATACCCTTAACTGGCATGTGCAATCTTTTCTTGCATACCCTTAACTGGCATGTGCGATGTTTTCTTGCATACTCTTAATTGGCATGTGTGATCTTTTCTTGCATACCCTTAACTGGCATGTGCAATCTTTTCTTGCATACCCTTAACTGGCATGTGCAATCTTTTCTTGCATACTCTTAATTGGCATGTGTGATCTTTTTTTTTTACATACCCTTACACTGGCAAGTGCGATCTTTTCTTGAATCTTTTCTTGCATACTCTTAATTGGCATGTGCGATCTTTTTTTTTTACATACCCTTACACTGGCAAGTGCGATCTTTTCTTGCATACCCTTATCTGGCATGTGTGATGTTTTTTTGCATACGCTTAGTCTGGTATGTGTGATCTTTTTTTGCATACCCTTAAACTGGCATGTGTGATCTTTTCTTGCAGTTTCCCTCCTGAACAGAGGTACATGGATATACTAGAGCAGACGGCAAGTTTTAATACCCGTCTTTCGATTGAAAGGAAAATGCGACTGCCGTTCTTGGATTCTCAAACAGGTGTAGCTCAGAAACACACCAACCTGTTTCATCCTTACAGGTATCGGCAGCCAGGTGAGTACTGGCGTCTGTTGCTGGTGTTAGCTCGAGTCGTGCAGATGTCTGCTTCTAACTTGTTCACACCTGGTTCACTGCAATGTCAGCACTGGTGTCTGTTGCTGGTGTTAGCTCGAGTTATACAGATATCTGCTTCTAACTTGTTCAAACCTGGTTCACTGCAGTGTCTTTTGCTGGTGTTAGCTTGAGTCATGCAGATGTCTGCTTCTAACTTGTTCACACCTGGTTCACTGCAGTGTCAGCACTGGTGTCTGTTGCTGGTCTTAGCTTGAGTCATGCAGATGTCTGCTTCTAACTTGTTCACACCTGGTTCACTGCAGTGTCAGCACTGGTGTCTGTTGCTGGTGTTAGCTTGAGTCATACAGATGTCTGCTTCTAACTTGTTCACACCTGGTTCACTGCAGTGTCTGTTGCTGGTGTTAGCTTGAGTCATACAGATGTCTGCTTCTAACTTGTTCACACCTGGTTCACTGCAGTGTCAGCACTGGTGTCTTTTGCTGGTCTTAGCTTGAGTCATGCAGATGTCTGCTTCTAACTTGTTCACACCTGGTTCACTGCAGTGTCAGCACTGGTGTCTGTTGCTGGTCTTAGCTTGAGTCATGCAGATGTCTGCTTCTAACTTGTTCTCACCTGGTTCACTGCAGTGTCTTTTGCTGGTGTTAGCTCGAGTTATACAGATGTCTGCTTCTAACTTGTTCACACCTGGTTCACTGCAGTGTCAGCACTGGTGACTGTTGCTGGTCTTAGCTTGAGTCATGCAGATGTCTGCTTCTAACTTGTTCACACCTGGTTCACTGCAATGTCAGCACTGGTGTCTGTTGCTGGTGTTAGCTTGAGTCATACAGATGTCTGCTTCTAACTTGTTCACACCTGGTTCACTGCAGTGTCTGTTGCTGGTGTTAGCTTGAGTCATACAGATGTCTGCTTCTAACTTGTTCACACCTGGTTCACTGCAGTGTCAGCACTGGTGTCTGTTGCTGGTCTTAGCTTGAGTCATGCAGATGTCTGCTTCTAACTTGTTCACACCTGGTTCACTGCAGTGTAAGGACTGGATAAATAAGACACTAGGTCAGACTTCTAGACTTTTGACAAATGGGAGAACAGTTCTAGAACGTATGTTCATGTGAACAGTTCTCTGACAGTTAGAAACCTCAGATAACAAGCTAATAGGCTGTATTTGTTGTTGTTGTAAACATTAAAAAACCTGCCTTTAAAAAGGAGAGTGAAAATTGATAGCTTTTGTGATTGTGGCTTGCACACATTTAGGTTCTCAGTCGAGACTCTTGTAGTGTCCATCATGGATTTGATACACACATTTAGATCCTCAGTCCAGACTCTTGTAGTGTCCATCATTAATTTGATACACACATTTGGGTCCTCAGTCCAGACTCTTGTAGTGTCCATCATGGATTTGATACACGCATTTTGAACTTCAGTCCATAATGAGCTTGATAGTTATATTTAGATCTTCAGTCCATAATCAGTTTGATACACACATTTGGATCTTTAGTCTATTAAGGGTTTGATGCAAACATCTGGATCTTTACCCCATCAAGGGTCTTTGATCCATCACACATTGATCTTTACCCCATCCAAGATGCTGGGTTCTACACCTCTCTGTCAGTTGTCCTATAAGTGTTTTACTGTTCTAGCATATGTTCTTTACCCCATTAAGGTGTTTGACCTCTCTGCCACATATGGATGTTACTGTTCTAGCATATGTTCTTTGATACACCCATCTAATGCTGTTAGTTGTCAAGATAGTGATACACAGCATCTGATCTTTACCCCATTAAGGGTTTGATACACACATCTGGATCTTTACCCCATTAAGGGTTTGATGCACACATCTGGATCTTTACCCCATTAAGGGTTTGATACACACATCTGGATCTTTACCCCATTAAGGGTTTGATACACACATCTGGATCTTTACTCCCTAAGGGTTTTAATGCTCTGGATCTCTAACCTCTCTGGTTTGATACACACTGTTCTAGGATTCTTTCCCCCATCAAGGCTGGATTCACACCTCTCTGAGTTGTCCTATCAGGTCTGTTTGATACACATATGTTCTTTACCCCATCAAGGGTTTGATACACACATCTGGATCTTTACCCCATCAAAGGTTTGATACACACATCTAGATCTTCACTCCATTAAGGGTTTGATACACACATCTGGATCCTTAATCTAGGGTCTTATAGTGTCCATCATGGGTTTTGGAGGAGTGGTCATTGAATAATGAGTCAGCAATCCAATAATGTTACAGTTTTAGCAAATGTGGCCTACTCCCACATTTAATGTTGGGTTCTCACCTCTCTGTCAGTTGTCCTATAGTGTTAATGTTCTAGAATATATATTCTCTCCTCCCACATTTAATGTTGGGTTCTCACCTCTCTGTCAGTTGTCCTATAGTGTTAATGTTCTAGAATATATATTCTCTCCTCCCACATTTAATGTTGGGTTCTCACCTCTCTGTCAGTTGTCCTATAGTGTTAATGTTCTAGAATATATATTCTCTCCTCCCACATTTAATGTTACTGTTGGGTTCTCACCTCTGCTGTCAGTTGTCCTATAGTGTTAATGTTCTAGAATATATATTCTCTCCTCCCACATTTAATGTTGGGTTAGTGTTACTGTTCTCAAACCTCTATGTTAGTTGTCCTATAGAGGTACTGTTCTAGCATATATTCTCTCCTCCCACATTTAATGCTGGGTTCTCACCTCTATGTTAGTTGTCCTATAGAGGTACTGTTCTAGCATATATTCTCTCCTCCCACATTTAATGCTGGGTTCTCACCTCTATGTTAGTTGTCCTATAGAGGTACTGTTCTAGCATATGTTCTCTCTCTCCATGTTTAATCTGTTAGTTGTCCATAGTTTAATGCTAGGGTCTCTCTCCCTCTATGCTGTTAGTTGTCCTATAGTGTTACTGTTCTAGCATATGTTCTCTCCTCCCATGTTCAATGCTGTTAGTTGTCCTATAGTGTTACTGTTCTAGCTCTATGTTCCCATGTTTAATGCTATAGTTGTCCTATACTGTTCTAGCATATATTCTCTCCTCCCATGTTTAATGCTGTTAGATGTCCTATAGTGTTACTGTTCTAGCATATGTTCTCTCCTCCCATGTTTAATGCTGTTAGTTGTCCTATAGTGTTACTGTTCTAGCATATGTTCTCTCCTCCCATGTTTAATGCTGTTAGTTGTCCTATAGAGGTACTGTTCTAGCATATGTTCTCTCCTCCTATGTTTAATGCTGTTAGTTGTCCTATAGTGTTACTGTTCTAGCATGTGTTCTCTCCTCCCATGTTCAATGCTGTTAGTTGTCCTATAGTGTTACTGTTCTAGCATATGTTCTCTCCTCCCATGTTTAATGCTGTTAGTTGTCCTATAGTGTTGCTGTTCTAGCATATATTCTCTCCTCCCATGTTTAATGCTGTTAGTTGTCCTATAGTGTTACTGTTCTAGCATATGTTCTCTCCTCCCATGTTTAATGCTGTTAGATGTCCTATAGTGGTACTGTTCTAGCATATATTCTCTCCTCCCATGTTTAATGCTGTTAGTTGTCCTGTAGTGTTACTGTTCTAGCATATGTTCTCTTCTCCCACATTTAATGCTGGGTTCTCACCTCTCTGTCAGTTGTCCTATAGAGGTACTGTTCTAGCATATATTCTCTCCTTCCATGTTTAATGCTGGGTTCTCACCTCTCTGTCAGTTGTCCTATAGTGTTACTGTTCTAGCAAATGTTCTCTCCTCCCATGTTTAATGCTGTTAGTTGTCCTATAGTGTTACTGTTCTAGCAAATATTCTCTCCTCCCACATTTAATGCTGGGTTCTCACCTCTCTGTCAGTTTCCTATAGTGTTACTGTTCTAGCAAATATTGTCTCCTCCCACATTTAATGCTGGGTTCTCACCACTCTGTTAGTTGTCCTATAGTGTTACTGTTCTAGCATATATTCTCACCTCTCACATTTAATGCTGGGTTCTCACCACTCTGTTAGTTGTCCTATAGTGTTACTGTTCTAGCAAATATTCTCTCCTCCCACATTTAATGCTGGGTTCTCACCTCTCTGTCAGTTGTCCTATAGTGTTACTGTTCTAGCATATATTCTCTCCTCCCACATTTAATGCTGGGTTCTCACCTCTCTGTCAGTTGTCCTATAGTGTTACTGTTTCAGCACATGTGACCTCCTCCCATGTTTCTGACAGTGAGATGAGTCTTGTAGATAATGACACTGGCAGTGACATGAACACAGATATGATCTATTTGTGGCAGGCACAGTCGAGGGCCAGCTCTACAGTTACCCAGCCAAACGATGGAAGAAGAAGAAAAGATCATTGATTTTCTCCGAGCGAAGAGTGGGCCTGCATCGGGATATAGAGACTGGTGAAGCAGGTAGAGTATCTGTTGTCATCTCCTACAGCACTGTGGGTGAAGCAGGTAGAGTATCTGTTGTAGTCAGTCTGTTGTCATCTCCTACAGCACTGTGGGTGAAGCAGGTAGAGTATCTGTTGCAGTCAGTCTGTTGTCATCTCCTACAGCACTGTGGGTGAAGCAGGTAGAGTATCTGTTGCAGTCAGTCTGTCATCTCCCACAGCACTGTGGGTGAAGCAGGTAGAGTATCTGTTGCAGTCAGTCTGTTGTCATCTCCTACAGCACTGTGGGAGAAGCAGGTAGAGTATCTGTTGTCATCTCCTACAGCACTGTGGGCTGCCTTGTCCACACAGACTTCTTTCTGTCTTTGACATTGTTGAACCCTTTGTCTCGGAGACAAGCACAGTAGTGTGTTAACATACCCAGTCTTGTAATAAACACTGTGCTAGAGAATGGTCATTGTTTGGTTAATTCTTCCATGTGCTGCAGTTGGTCAACTGGAGACCAGAGTTTATGGCTGAATGTGGTTCTGTCAAACACAGCTGGCCATATAAATTCTGGCAAATAGCAGATTGACCCATTGAACCCTGTTGACCCCCAGAGAGACTTTAATGGAGCTCCTGAGAAGAATCAACATTGTGCCACCTTTAGATCCTCAGGGGACTGTCATCTCTGTCGTGAATTATCTTGAGTTTTTTTTTCGTCCTCATTGTTACTGGTGGGGGGGGGGGGGGGGGGGGGGTGATGGTGTGCTCCTCAGGACTGAAAGTTGAATTCCCTGTGATAGAATTAAACATGGAGCTGAATATTGATTGGACGGCGAAGTCAGAGGTGTTGATACAAGTGAGAGAGAAAAATGGGGGTGAGGGGGGGGGGGGGGGATGAGCAGCAGTTTTTCAGGGTACAGCAACAGGTGTTGGAGATTTCTGACTGCAGACATTTATTGTGAAGATAGTACCTGATTAGTTGATTAATGGACACTTGCAGAGGAATGGGGATCTAGCTCAGCATCTGGGGATGTTGCTTTATTGAGACAGTCCATCCAGAGTTGAACTCTGAGAACAGCTGCCCCTGGAAGGAACAGTGACAGCTCTGCTAGAGATGTTTTATCACAGCCTCATCACTATCTTCCTAGATCATGTATCTTGTGTTTTCTGACTGTCCCATTTCCTGTCTTTAATGTGGATGTGCATTGAATGTTGCCTTCTAACTTATCCCTCCCTGTCTTTAATGTGGATGTGCATTGAATGTTGCCTTCTAACTTATCCCTCCCTATCTTTCATCCTTAGACATGCATCAGATCAGTGCTGTAGAGAATCCAGCCCATCGTTTGGAGGAGCATGAATTTGATCATCTGGAAGCAGCTGATAACTGGTATGATGATGTGGATGATTTTGGCGATCCTCCCGATGATGGGGCTATGGTGGATGATCAGTCGGACATCAGTGACTTTGAAGATTCTCTCAAAGGGAGAAAAAGGAAAAAGGTTGTGTATTGTAAATATGTGTGGTCTCTTTCTTTCTTGTCTGTCTGTCTATCTCTCTCAGGTTCTCTCTTTCTTGTCTGTCTGTCTATCTCTCTCAGGTTCTCTCTTTCTTGTCTGTCTGTCTATCTCTCTCAGGTTCTCTCTTTCTCACAGTCTCTGACATATCAAAAGTCTTATTGACTTAGCTGTCCTGTCAGACAGTCCTGGTGATTTAGACAAGCTTATCAGTGTTATTCATTACTGTATTTTAGTCATATGTGACCACTGTTAGTCACATTTCATTGCTGTTAGTCAGTGCTAGTCACATGTCACTGCTGTTTGTAAGTCACATGTCAGTGCTGTTAGCCACATGTCAGTGCTGTTAGTCACATGTCATGCCTGTAGTAGTATTCACCATGAAAGCCTGCTGTTTTCACTGTTCACAATGAAGCTGATTCTGTCCTAAACTGTCTACCCCTTCCAGACCTTGACCTTTTCATGACACTGTGTCAACTCTGAGATTGAGACTAGTGAGTCATTTTCTCCCGGATACATTATGTGTAATAGTAGGACGTAAGATCATAAATATGAATTAGATATTTTAATTTACTGCTGATGGACTGTGGTACGAGAAAATGATTGGCAAAATAAACAAAACTCTTAACCCGGGTGAAGTGAAACGCTAGAAGATCACGAGTTTTGAGCAATCTAGAATGTTGGCGAAAGAAGATTATTTAATTCCCTAGAAAGATCTAGGGGTCAGTCCAGTTTGGATCAAGAAACTCTGTGCATGAAGAGCGGAGAGCATGTTTTGAATCAAGTTTGAATAACGGCGTACGTCCGTTTGATTGTGAGATTTCATTGTCCGATGTAGCCAGTAGTTTGATCTGCTGTATGCAGTGAATTTGTTTGTATTGTTCATTAAAAAAACGTCATTTTCAAGCTGCCGTTGTGTGTGTGTTCATTTGTGTATTCCTGATAAGGTTAAGTAATATTGGATAGATTGAATAATCACATAGACTATGTATACACCTCACCATGTACTGGCCAAAGAATCAGCGAGTGAGTGAACAATAAATATTGACAAAGCACTTTGTCGTTCGTGTCGTCCATTTTCACGGGTGAGAAGTCTGCAAGTAACTGGAGCCAAACTGAATGAACAGAGGTTCATTGCAGAAAGTGAAACAGAAAGTGGCTTGCTGAACCATGTCTCTCAGATCTCCCAGTACCTAGTTGTTTTCTCTGGAATCAAACTGATGGCACTGACTGGTTTTTTGTTTTGTTTGAAGACATTGACATTGTGACACTGCAGGCTCACCCATAGGTGCTCCATCTCCCTCAGCAGACATAATGCAGCATCTAGAAGCTGATCAAGAATCTCTAGAAAGTTGTGATGTAGATTGTGGAGGCAGTGTCTGTCGTCGTAGATTATATTTGTTGTGTTTCTGTCAACACACTGACTGATAGTCTGGTTACTTGCCTGCACATTGAATTGTTTTCCTTTCTCTCTTTTTGTTATCTAGAACACCAGCAAGGGCAGGAGGAAGAAAAATGATGACCACAACAAGGAGCTCTTGAGCCCTGAAGATAAGGAAAAGCCATACGCCTGTGAAGGTAGAGACCATGTTGTTTTCTGTGTTCCTGTGGGATGGGGAAACATGATCAGCAGAGCACATGATGTTGATGAACACACAAACGTGTGTATATACACACACTCACACACACACAGGCAGTGGTCAGTCCCAAGAGTCCCATTGTTTTCTGTATTCCACTGGGATTAGGAAACATGGTTAGCAGGGCACGTGATGATGTTGAACACACACAAACATGTGTGTATACACACGCACACATACACACACACAGGCAGCGGTCCACTGGGATTAGGAAACATGGTTAGCAGGGCACGTGATGATGATGTGTGTGTGCTGTCTGAGTGTGTATGTCTGTGTGTATGCATTATATATATATATAAAACCATTAGTCCCGAGGGGCCATGGGGCTGTGCCGTCTGCTGTGACTGTGGGAGTGGCAGTCTCTGCCACATGTGAGGAGCATTCAGAAAGTAGCTCACAACATGGTTTTCCTCAGCTCATGAATGAAATGATTCTGAATCAACAAACCTTATTGGCCGTCTCTGTCGTTGTTTTTTGTCCCGGATGGTGTCCGTTTTAGAGTTCCCAACTTGGAATGAAGCGATACTTGGCTTGAAGCTACGCTTTCAACTATCTTGAAATAAACTTGAACCTTGAAATGATACGACACTAATAATGAATCGTGGTTTGCACCGGCTTTAACATCTAGGGTTGATAGCACAAACGCCAGTCGGCTCCTTTGTACATGCTGTCAGTTTATTCATTTACTTTTATTCCACAGCTTCCACAATAATTTACACTTCTATCGCTCACGACATATTCAAATACTAGTCATTCTCGCGACATAAAGACTACATCTCCAAATAACTGTAACCGTCTTTCACGACTTCTGTTGATCAACTGACCACGAGGCTAGCTCGGGCTTTCCCTCGTGTACTCGACTATGCACAAGTATCTTGTGCTGTCCCTTGTTGCACGGACTTTCTGCTTGCCACAATGTAATCGTGAAGACCATCCAAAGCACCTCATCACAATGAAGATAGAGAAAAAAACAAGTACACGACAGTTGCCTTGAACATCACATGAAGATCAATACTGGAAAAACAGAAGTCAAGAGAATACATAGAGAACAACAGATGATCGACATAAAGATCCAAGTCTGAAACAAGTGCAAGAATTTAAATACTTAGGAAGCATCTTTACATACACCCTGTTATGCCAACAGAGACAAAAAGGCAAATTCTATATGCAATATTTATACCGACTTTAGGTTACCAATGTCAGACTTGGACATTGACAAAAGAACAGGAAAGAAAACTAACAATCTGTGAATCAGATGTTTGAGAATGGCTGTGAATAAAACCAGAAGAGATTGGGTGAGAAACGACAAGATTACAAGAAGTGTTGGAACAACACCCATCCTCAAATTTATTCAGAAACAAAGAATGAAATGGTTTGGCCATCTAATAAGAATGAAACCAACGATGCCAGCAGCAAGAGGGTACAACCCGAAAATCTGAACACCAAGAGTAGGATAAGACCGAGAAGAAGATGGATTGAAGGAGTCACTGACACCTTGAGGCTGCATTAGATCACAGCATATCAAGCGACTGAGCGTGCCCTGGCTCAGCTACCGATTATCTGATAAACTGCGACTTCTAGCGACCTTAGCAGACATTGATAAAATAAGAAGAAAGGATGAAATTAAGGTAACTGACATCTGTTACAGACATGTGTGTGTTACCAAGGTAATTGACATCTGTTACAGACATGTGTGTGTTACCAACATTAACTCTGGTTACTCGCTAGCACCAACAGACTGTGTATTAGCACCACACTAATGTTACCTTGTCAGAATGAGGTCACTCACCTATTGTTGATATTCTCAATCTACAGTTGGAAGAAGGAAAGGTATGCATACCATCAGGACTGTTGTGTTTGCACCAGGTTTTTGTGTGGATCGTGTTTAGCCTGTAGTTTTCTTTCTTTTTATTTATCACGCTTAAGCAACAGTTGGTTGATTGCTAGATATTTCACTGTAGCCCGCAGCTGTGTGTCCCTGTGTATGTGTCTGCACTTGTCTGTGTGTGATGTCGTCTTGTGACCACCACACTCACCTGTGACCACCACACTCACCTGTGTCCACCACACTCACCTGTGACCACCACACTCACCTGTGACCACCTCACTCACCTGTGACCACCACACTCACCTGTGACCACCACACTCACCTGTGACCACCTCACACACCTGTGACATGAATGATGTGTTGCTATATTGTTTGCAGCTTGTGGGGCCCGCTACAAAACTAGACCTGGTCTGGCCTACCATTACTCTCACTTCCACAGTGGCCTGATGGAGGAGGAGAGTAGATCTCCATCACCCAGCCGTACACACACAGCAGGTCTGGTGCTGATGACACCTCTACAGTGTTGTCTAGCCCTGCCTGGCACACACCTCCTGCCTCTGGGCCTCTGTGTAGTCTCACTGTATGGCTAGAACTAACCCCTGCAAACTCATGGCCTCTGTGTAGTCTCACCCTATGGCTAGAACTAACCCCTACAAACTTTGGGCCTCTTGTGTAGTCTCACTGTATGGCTAGAACTAACCCCTGCAAACTCATGGCCTCTGTGTAGTCTCACCCTATGGCTAGAACTAACCCCTACAAACTTATGGCCTCTTGTGTAGTCTCACTCTATGGCTAGAACTAACCCCTGCAAACTCATGGCCTCTGTGTAGTCTCACCCTATGGCTAGAACTAACCCCTACAAACTTATGGCCTCTTGTGTAGTCTCACTCTATGGCTAGAACTAACCCCTACAAACTTATGGCCTCTTGTGTAGTCTTACCCTATGGCTAGAACTAACCCCTACAAACTTATGGCCTCTTGTGTAGTCTTACCCTATGGCTAGAACTAACCCCTACAAACTTATGGCCTCTTGTGTAGTCTTACCCTATGGCTAGAACTAACCCCTACAAACTTATGGCCTCTTGTGTAGTCTCACTCTATGGCTAGAACTAACCCCTACAAACTTATGGCCTCTTGTGTAGTCTTACCCTATGGCTAGAACTAACCCCTACAAACTTATGGCCTCTTGTGTAGTCTCACTCTATGGCTAGAACTAACCCCTACAAACTTATGGCCTCTTGTGTAGTCTCACTGTATGGCTAGAACTAACCCCTACAAACTTATGGCCTCTTGTGTAGTCTCACTCTATGGCTAGAACTAACCCCTACAAACTTAAGGCCTCTTGTGTAGTCTCACTCTATGGCTAGAACTAACCCCTACAAACTTATGGCCTCTTGTGTAGTCTCACTCTATGGCTAGAACTAACCCCTACAAACTTATGGCCTCTTGTGTAGTCTTACTCTATGGCTAGAACTAACCCCTACAAACTTATGGCCTCTTGTGTAGTCTTACCCTATGGCTAGAACTAACCCCTACAAACTTATGGCCTCTTGTGTAGTCTTACCCTATGGCTAGAACTAACCCCTACAAACTTATGGCCTCTTGTGTAGTCTTACCCTATGGCTAGAACTAACCCCTACAAACTTATGGCCTCTTGTGTAGTCTCACCCTATGGCTAGAACTAACCCCTACAAACTTATGGCCTCTTGTGTAGTCTCACTCTATGGCTAGAACTAACCCCTACAAACTTATGGCCTCTTGTGTAGTCTCACTCTATGGCTAGAACTAACCCCTACAAACTTATGGCCTCTTGTGTAGTCTTACCCTATGGCTAGAACTAACCCCTACAAACTCTGAGCCTCACATTCCTCCATAACTGCTTGTGCTTCTGCATGTTTGCCATTCAGGGAAGGAGCTGTGTCAATGAGCAGTATACACGTCTAATTTGGAGACAACTCTCGACAAAATAAGCAGTGTCATACAGCTTGAGAACTGTCAATATACTCCTATAAAATATATCATAAATTTGGCCTCTAGTTTTAAAAAGGGTAATTTCTACAGGGTTTCCCTAGTGAAAAGGGGTAGGGGGTTATTAACCAACCTGACACACATCAGTCATTTTGAAAGTTTGTCTAGGATAAAAGGCTATGTCCTCAATGTAAATTGGCTAATTTCACCTTTTGTGAAAGTAGACGTTCACAAAGCTGAAGTAGAATAGGACTGTTATATGTTTCGGAGCTGATTATTATTTATGAAGCAAATGGCGGACTTTTTGCAGTGACGTGGGTCGCTTGATAACAGAACTGGAACTGCCAATAGAGAGGATAGAGATGGGCTGGCTGCACGGATGGTGGTTGGTGTCTGTGATGCAGTTAAGTCTGACAGAGATCAGTTTCATTTTCCTGCCAGGGTAGACAGGTATACCAGGAACTCAGCAAGATATAAGCTTGCAACTACAGAGGGCAGACATGCCATGGACCAACCAGATATACTAAATGCCCTACAAGAAATATGTTTGGGGGAACCAAGTGACTGTGAATCCACAGCCATGACCAGACTGCAAGAGCAGCATGTTAAAAGGGGTTTGGCCAGACAAGAGCACTGTGTAGATGCCAGATAAGAATCAGGCACAAAATTAGTGTTAGCCGATGCATGCTGCATGGTTGATTGAGGAAAGGATCATCTGTCGACTGACTGACACGTGTCAGTAGGGATAAATATACAATGTCAGGAGTGTCATCATAGACAGAACTCTGTTTTATCCCATTGTTTTCATTGTCAGTGTGGACTGTCCACAAACAGAAGCTGCACTGTATAGTTAACCTGGGCTATTTATGATTGGGAAAACCATACACACAGTCCACATTTGGATTGTATATGACCACAGCTGCAGTTAGAAGCCCTTGTTTGGGACAATAGTCCTTGAGTAGTGCTCCTCCCCTGGGCAGCAAGAGTCATCTATTGCTGCTAGTGTTGCTGGCTTTTTTGCTGCATGTTGTCTGTTTGACCCAGGTCACTTGCTGGCATGTTGTTTGTTGTTTACCATTACTGTGTTCTGACTATCATATTGTGCTCTAACTACCAACTGAGGCTTGTAGCTTGTTTGCATGCATAGTTGCTCTGACACTCTGGTTGATAGCCTGGACAGGCTCCCAAACCATAACAAATTTAATGGACCTAATTGTTTATAGTTAATTTAGGAGAATCAGAACAGTATTCCACACAAGCCCAGCTTTTGAATTGTGCTTATAATCACTGGTTGTCATCTCTAAGTAGTGGTCATGGTGGTTGATTCTCATGTTTGACCATGAGGCTGGACACAGGTCAACTAGAGTGTTGGGCACTTCACTGTAACACATTTCTGATTTAACTAACAGATAAAGTAATAATACAGTACATGAAATAATAGCAAATAAAGCAGAGTAAAGATGTAATAATGTGTACAGTTCTGTTATAAACATGTTCTGGGTTGACTGTGTCTTGAAGGATGGCTGGCCATTAGTTGAAGGATGGCTGGCTGGCCATTGGTTGAAGGATGGCTGGTCATTAGTTAAAGGATGGCTGGCCATTAGTTGAAGGATGGCTGGCCATTAGTTGAAGGATGGCTGGCCATTAGTTGAAGGATGGCTGGTCCATTAGCTGGCCATTAGTTGAAGGATGAAGGGCTGGCCATTAGTTGAAGGAGGATGGCTGGCTGTCCATTAGTTGAAGGATGGCTGGTCATTAGTTGAAGGATGGCTGGTCATTAGTTGAAGGATGGTTGTCATTAGTTGAAGGATGGCTGGTCATTAGTTGAAGGATGGCTGGCCATTAGTTGAAGGATGGCTGTCCATTAGTTGAAGGATGGCTGGTCATTAGTTGAAGGATGGCTGTCCATTAGTTGAAGGATGGCTGGTCATTAGTTGAAGGATGGCTGGTCATTAGTTGAAGGATGGCTGGTCATTAGTTGAAGGATGGCTGGTCATTAGTTGAAGGATGGCTGTCCATTAGTTGAAGGATGGCTGGTCATTAGTTGAAGGATGGCTGGTCATTAGTTGAAGGATGGCTGGTCATTAGTTGAAGGATGGCTGTCCATTAGTTGAAGGATGGCTGGTCATTAGTTGAAGGATAGCTGGCCATTAGTTGAAGGATAACTGGCCATTAGTTGAAGGATGGCTGGTCATTAGTTAAAGGATGGCTGGTCATTAGTTAAAGGATGGCTGTCCATTCGTTGAAGGATGGCTGGCCATTAGTTGAAGGATGGCTGGCCATTAGTTAAAGGATGGCTGTCCATTAGTTGAAGGATGGCTGGCCATTAGTTGAAGGATGGCTGGCCATTAGTTAAAGGATGGCTGTCCATTAGGTTGACTTGCACTAGATTTGCACTGATTTGTTGTTGAACTCATGTTTGTCAGAAACCAGGCTAGTTATGGGATCTAGTGGGTAGATTTCTTTTGTGTGGGTCTTGTAGTTAATTTTTTTAAAATTGAAGATTGATAGATATACACTTGCTAACAGAGCCTATATTGTGAGCCACTGGTGTGCACTCGACAGTGCCACATTGAACCCATTGTCTTTGTCATGGGAAGAGTGTGTGTAGATCATATCATTTATGCTAAGTGATATTTAAGTGACTGTTTTATGTGTGTGTATCTGTCCGGAGAGTTGCATGACTGGCACCTGTAACCACATATTCTCCACTAACCTGCTTCCATCTCATCATCATCAGATAGTCGTAACTGATGCAGTCTTTACATGCCCTTAAGTTGTATTAACTAGGGTCAGATGCAACAGCATTACTCATTGCTCACTGTCTGACACAACAGCATCACTCATTGCTCACTGTCTGGCACAACAGCATCACTCATTGCTCACTGTATGACACAACAGCATCACTCATTGCTCACTGTCTGACACAACAGCATCACTCATTGCTCACTGTATGACACAACAGCATCACTCATTGCTTGCTGTCTGACACAACAGCATCACTCATTGCTCACTGTCTGACACAACAGCATCACTCATTGCTCACTGTCTGACACAACAGCATCACTCATTGCTCACTGTCTGACACAACAGCATCACTCATTGCTCAATGTCTGACACAACAGCATCACTTATTGCTCACTGTCTGACACAACAGCATCACTCATTGCTCACTGTCTGACACAACAGCATCACTCATTGCTCACTGTCTGACACAACAGCATCACTCATTGCTCACTGTCTGAAACAACAGCATCACTCATTGCTCACTGTCTGACACAACAGCATCACTCATTGCTCACTGTCTGACACAACAGCATCACTCATTGCTCACTGTCTGACACAACAGCATCACTCATTGCTCACTGTCTGAAACAACAGCATCTCTCATTGCTCACTGTCTGACACAACAGCATCACTCATTGCTCACTGTCTGACACAACAGCATCACTCATTGCTCACTGTCTGACACAACAGCACCACTCATTGCTCACTGTCTGACACAACAGCACCACTTATTGCTCACTGTCTGACACAACAGCATCACTCATTGCTCACTCTGACACAACAGCATCACTCATTGCTCACTGTCTGACACAACAGCATCACTCATTGCTCACTGTCTGATGCAACAGCATCACTCATTGCTCACTGTCTGACACAACAGCATCACTCATTGCTCACTGTCTGACGCAAGAGCATCACTCATTGCTCACTGTCTGACGCAACAGCATCACTCATTGCTCGCTGTCTGACGCAACAGCATCATTAATTGCTCACTGTCTGACACAACAGCATCACTCATTGCTCACTGTCTGACACAACAGCATCACTCATTGCTCACTGTCTGACACAACAGCACCACTCATTGCTCACTGTCTGACACAACAGCATCACTCATTGCTCACTGACTGGGTTCAAGGGCCCACATGTGTGTATGTATGTGTGTGTGTGTATATATACTCAAATAGACCCACTGCTGTTTAATTGGCATGTCATAAAAGGTGACCAATGAAAAACTTGCTGAAATCAGGTGAGTTGAGCCACAAGGCACAGCTGTCGCAGCCTAGCTGTCAACCACAACTCAATATAAGCATATTGTAAGAATGAAGACTACTACTGATATTTCCCATGCACACCTGGCGTCTAACAAGTGAAATATTATGAAACTCATTTCTCAGCTGAAATCAATCAGTGACAATAATTTGTTAGTTTTTGAAATATAAGTCACAGGGTCAATGTTGTTTGTTATAGGCAGGGGTCATCTGAAATGATGTAATGCTAAAATGTTTGTTCTGTAGATCTACTCATTACAGATTAGTACATCATTGAAGGACCTTTCATGTGAAAGCCTGATAAAACATCACAAGGTTTGGCAGAATTAAACAGAGCATTCATTTTGCATGAATTATGCACCATGGGTTAGTTAGAGACATCACTGTAGGCATTCAGCCAAGCATTCCATTGCTTAAGTGGGTGTTGAATGCCATATGCTTACCCCAAAAAATGGATTGTGGTTGCTCGTTGAACCAAGTATTTACCACAATCATTTCATCTGCATCTCTGTGTGAAACTGTTGCACTTTGACAGCTATTTTTGAGGCCCAAACAAAAGAAAATCACATGCTGGCAAATGTGTACAGGCTGGATGTTGCAGAATTTCCCACATCAGGTTCTTTCAAATCTGACAGCAGCCCTTTATGATTACTAAATGGGCTCAGAATAACCTTACCTTAACTTGAATGGGGGGGGGGGGGGGGGGGGGGGAGGGGTCGGTGATCCTGCATGCTTCCAATGCTTGCTGTTTCTTGTGCTGCTCAGCTCAATGTGGTGACACCATCAGTCATCACCTGCCACTGTGTGGTGACACCATCAGTCATCACCTGCCACTGTGTGGTGACACCATCAGTCATCACCTGCCACTGTGTGGTGACACCATCAGTCATCACCTGCCACTGTGTGGTGACACCATCAGTCATCACCTGCCACTGTGTGGTGACACCATCAGTCATCACCTGCCACCTCCTCTCTATTGCTGCATCCATTATGGTGATAGCTTTTCTGTTGCAACAATATGAGCTTGACTTAGCTGTGGACGATTTGTTATGAACTATGACCTCTCTGAAACATTTGTACCCAGGCTGTCACTCTTGTACCCAGTCTGTCACTCTTGTACCCAGTCTCTCACTCTTGTACCCAGTCTGTCACTCTTGTACCCAGTCTCTCACTCTTGTACCCAGTCTCTCACTCTTGTACCCAGTCTCTCTTGTACCCAGTCTGTCACTCTTGTACCCAGTCTCTCACTCTTGTACCCAGTCTCTCACTCTTGTACCCAGTCTCTTACTCTTGTACCCAGTCTCTCACTCTTGTACCCAGTCTCTCACTCTTGTACCCAGTCTCTCACTCTTGTACCAAGTCTCTCACTCTTGTACCCAGTCTCTCACTCTTGTCTTCCACACAGATATTTCTTATGCTGCCTGCATGTTTTTATAAAAGTCCACAGGTTGACATTTTTCAAATGAAAGAAACTGAATCACCGCTGCTTGAGCCTCTCTAGATGGATTACGGTTCAGCTGTGTGATTTTCTGAGCAGTCAGAAACAGAACCTATGCATTATGGGACAATAAACATATGCTGTTTTATTCATTGATCAGTACTTATTACCTGACTAGCACAAAATCATGTTTGCATGCAGTTATGCAACAGGCTTCAAGTGAACACCCTAATTTGTATGTGATGCTGTAATTTGTTTGTCATAGCAAAATAGCATCTTAAATGTTGAATTCATGAATCACATTGAATCTATAAGTCTAACTGTCATTGTGACAGAATCTAGTTAAAGTATGTTAGTTGTTGAGAAATACTTGTCCTTTCACTCACACAGTCAGTGCTTTTTGCAGCTGCTGTGTTGTCTGAATGTTGGATCTGAGAGACGGAGATGGTGAATTTGTGCTTGAATGTTGTTTGTGAAAGAGTGAGCTGATACATTTGTGTTTGATACCTTGCTGGGTTTTTTCCAACTCCGCTCACAGAGTACGTGCCGAAGACAACCAAGCGAACCAGAAGTGAGGTCACAGCCAGCAATGGCAAAGGTAAATGTAATTTCTTGTCTCGTCACACACTGTGACAGGTATGCTTTGCTGTATGTGGGAGAGGTGTGTTGTGTTTTTTGTCATTGCTGCTGTCATGAAGTATATTTTTTGTGTGTGTTTGTTTGTTTGTTACTTGATGTGTCTTATCTCTCTGACTAACTGTGATCTCCCATTTCTTTTTCTGATCTCCCAGACTGAAGACTGATCTCACATTATACATTTGTTGGTCTTCCTCTGTCTGTATTTAAACTCTTTTACAACTATTAGATATCCCTGCCTGACTGTTTCTAATATCCCTGAATGCAATCTTCCTGACTGAACAAATTTGTCTTATCTCCCGGTCTGACCAAATTTGTCTTATCTCCCGGTCTGACCCAATTTAACTATGCATGTATCAGATCTCCCCTCACACCAGCCAGCATATTGTGCTTCTTTTCCCATTGTTGTGTCTGTCAACTGTCCTTTTCTCCATTGTTGTGTCTGTTAACTGTCCTTTTCTCCATTGTTGTGTCTGTCAACTGTCCTTTCTCATTGTTGTGTCTGTGAACTGTCCTTTTCCCCATTGTTGTGTCTGTCAACTGTCCTTTTCCCCATTGTTGTGTCTGTCAACTACCCTTTTCCCATTGTTGTGTCTGTTAACTGTCCTTTTCCCATTGTTGTATCTGTCAACTACCCTTTTCCCATTGTTGTGTCTGTCAACTGTCCTTTTCCCATAGTTGTGTCTGTTAACTGTCCTTTTCCCATTGTTGTATCTGTCAACTGTCCTTTTCTCCATTGTTGTGTCTGTCAACTGTCCTTTTCTCCATTGTTGTGTCTGTCAACTGTTATTTTCTCCATTGTTGTGTCTGTCAACTGTCCTTTCTCATTGTTGTGTCTGTCAACTGTCCTTTTCCCCATTGTTGTGTATGTCAACTGTCCTTTTCCCCATTGTTGTGTTTGTCAACTACCCTTTTCCCATTTTTGTGTCTGTTAACTGTCCTTTTCCCATTGTTGTGTCTGTTAACTGTCCTTTTCCCATTGTTGTATCTGTCAACTGTCCTTTTCCCATTGTTGTATCTGTCAACTGTCCTTTTCCCATTGTTGTATCTGTCAACTGTCCTTTTCCCATTGTTGTATCTGTCAACTGTCCTTTTCTTATTGTTGTGTCTGTCAACTACCATTTTCCCATTGTTGTGTCTGTTAACTGTCCTTTTCCCATTGTTGTATCTGTCAACTGTCCTTTTCCCATTGTTGTATCTGTCAACTGTCCTTTTCCCATTGTTGTATCTGTCAACTGTCCTTTTCTTATTGTTGTGTCTGTCAACTGTCCTTTTCCCATTGTTGTGTCTGTTAACTGTCCTTTTCTCCATTGTTGTGTCTGTCAACTGTTCTTTTCTCCATTGTTGTGTCTGTCAACTGTCCTTTTCCCATTGTTGTGTCTGTCAACTACCCTTTTCTTATTGCTGTATCTGTCAACTGTCCATGACTGTATCTTAACCTGGCCAGGTAGTTGTTGCTGGTTTTCCACCTGAGATGTTCTCAGTCTGTTTTCATTGTTGACAGCCACATTGTCTAAACACTGAAAATCTGTCTCACCTGTATGTTCAACAGTCAGCAAAGCATCAGCTGCTACACCTGTGGCGGCACCACCACCGACACCGACACCCTCAGAGAGCAAAGTTTCTGCCAACAACTACTGTGACTTCTGTCTGGGGGATGCTGCGGAAAACAAGAAGACAAAGGTAGCAGAAGAACTGGTGTCCTGCAGCGACTGTGGCCGGTCAGGTGAGTGTGTCCACTGTTGGTGCTGAATACGGGAATACAGTATCGACTGCAATACTGGTGTAATAGTGTGCTGAAAACAGGACTACAGTACTGATGTATTAGTGTACTAAATACTGGACTACAGTACTGGTGTAATAGTGTCCTAAATACAGGACTACAGTACTGATGTAATAGTGTGCTGAATATAGGACTACAGTACTGATGTAATAGTGTGCTAAATACAGGACTAGAAACCTGGTGTAATAGTGTGCTAAATACAGGACTACAAACCTGGTGTAATAGTGTGCTAAATACAGGACTACAGTACTGATGTATTAGTGTGCTAAATACAGGACTACAGTACTGATGTATTAGTGTGCTAAATACAGGACTACAAACCTGGTGTAATAGTGTGCTAAATACAGGACTACAGTACTGGTGTAATAGTGTGCTAAATACAGGACTACAGTAATGGTGTAATAGTGTGCTGAATATAGGACTACAGTACTGATGTAATAGTGTGCTAAATACAGGACTACAGTACTGGTGTAATAGTTTGCTGAATACAGGACTACAGTGCTGATGTAATAGTGTGCTGAATACAGTAGCGGCTGCAGTACTGGTGTAATAGCCTGCTGAATACAGGACTACAGTGGCGACTGCAGTACTGGTGTAATAGCCTGCTGAATACAGGACTACAGTACTGGTGTAATAGTGTGCTGAATACAGGACTACAATACTGGTGTAATAGTGTGCTGCAAACAGGACTACAGTAGCGATTACAATACTGGTGTAATAGCGTGCTGAAAACAGGACCACAGTAGAGATTACAATACTGGTGTAATAGTGTGCTGCAAACAGGACTACAGTAGCGATTACAATACTGGTGTAATAGCGTGCTGAAAACAGGACCACAGTAGAGATTACAATACTGGTGTAATAGTGTGCTGAAAACAGGACTACAGTAGCGATTACAATACTGGTGTAATAGCGTGCTGAAAACAGGACCACAGTAGAGATTACAATACTGGTGTAATAGTGTGCTGAAAACAGGACTACAGTAGCGATTACAATACTGGTGTAATAGCGTGCTGAAAACAGGACTACAGTAGCCATTACAATACTGGTGTAATAGTGTGCTGCATACAGGACTACAGTAGCGATTACAATACTGGTGTAATAGTGTGCTGAAGCTGACCTGTCTATGTTCTGACTCTAGTGACATTTGTCTTCTTCTTCACATTGACCGGCTGTAAACTAGCAGGGAGTTTCTGCTTGTTCATCCATCTTAAGTTCTTGTTTTATGCACATCCGTTTTGCAGGTCTGGCATTTTTGTATGCAGACTTGTGGTTCCTTGCATTTCAGGCAGATGTACTCTGACTTCATGAGAAGTTCCCTAGTCAACTTTATTTTATTCACGCTTGTTGAAAAGGGGGTGTGGGGTGGTGCGGATGCATTGTACCTGCCTGTTTGTAGTTTGCATTATTATATGAGATAGGAACCCCCCATTTACTTTCCATTGGTGGAAGAAGGAAACCCCAAAATAAAAATAGCATAACACGGGGAATAGCTGTAGACGAGAGTACCACAAATAGTTTATGTAAAATTGAACAGATTCAGCATCGGCTTTGTAATTAATAGGAATGTCTACACAGATATAATAGCATAGAGTTTCCAGACAGAGGATTCAAGACAAGACAGTTATTGTTAAAATAATCTGATTACAAGCATATGATCTGTTATGTAGAAGCTTACAGTGACATCTGTGAGCTGTGTTCGTTGGCGTGCAAGTTTGAACGAGTACTGAGCACTTTCATTAGACAATGAGTCAGAGTGACAAGAGCTGAATGGAGTCAGTGCACTGTTCTTGTTTTCTCCAGAATGTAGGCCCCAGAACCCACAAGGTTCAGTGCAGTTGTGTATTTTTGTGGTGGAGCTGTTATATAGTCGTGTGGCAACAACACAACTGTTACTGAGGCAAGTGTCTGCTGTTCTCTGTGTGTATGGTGTGTGAGGAGAAGCTGTTATTTAGCTGGGATCACTAACCAGTTTGTGCCTTCTACAGGTCACCCTTCGTGCCTGCAGTTCACAGACAACATGATCATCTCAGTGAAGAAGTACCCCTGGCAGTGCATCGAGTGCAAGTCTTGTGGCTTGTGTGGGACCTCTGACAATGATGTGAGTTCCTTCTACCAGCCGCCTGTAGACTGTATGTGTCTGGTCACAGTTGACTGGCACTTGTTTGTGCATGTTGGTGTTTGCAGCTGTATGTTGGTGTTTGTAGCTGTATGTTGTTGTTTGTAGCTTTATGTTGGTGTTTTTAGCTGTAAGTTGGGGTTTGTAGCTGTATGTTAGTGTTTGTAACTGCATGTTAGTGTTTGTAGCAATATATGTTGATGTTTGTTGCTGTATGTTGGTTTTTGTAGCTGTATGTTGGTGTTTCTAGCTGCATGTTGGTGTTTGTAGCTGTATGTTGGTGTTTCTGGCTGTATGTTGGTGTTTGTAGCTGTATGTTGGTGTTTGTAGCTGCATATGGGTGTTTGTAGCTGCATGTTGGTGTTTGCAGCTGCATGTTGGTGTTTGCAGCTGTATGTTGGTGTTTGTAGCTGTATGTGGGTTTTGCAGCTGTATGTTGGTGTTTGTAGCTGCATGTGGGTGTTTGTAGCTGCATGTTGGTGTTTGCAGCTGTATGTTAGTGTTTGTAGCTGTATGTGGGTGTTTGTAGCTGCATGTGGGTGTTTGTAGCTGCATGTGGGTGTTTGTAGCTGCATGTGGGTGTTAGTAGCTTTATGTGGGTGTTTGTAGCTGTATGTGGGTGTTTGCAGCTGTATGTTGGTGTTCGTAGCTGCATGTTGGTGTTTGCAGCTGTATTTGGTGTTTGCAGCTGTATGTGGGTGTTTGCAGCTGTATTTTGGTGTTTGTAGCTGCATGTTGGTGTTTGTAGCTGCATGTTGGTGTTTGCAGCTGTATGTGGGTGTTTGCAGCTATATGTTGGTGTTCATAGCTGTATGTTGGTGTTTGTAGCTGTATGTGGGTGTTTGCAGCTGTATTTGGGTGTTTGTAGCTGTATGTGGGTGTTTGTAGCTGTATGTGGGTGTTTGTAGCTGTATTTGGTGTTTGTAGCTGCATGTGGTGTTTGCAGCTGTATGTGGGTGTTTGTAGCTGTATGTGGGTGTTTGTAGCTGCATGTTGGTGTTTGTAGCTGTATGTGGTGTTTGTAGCTGCATGTTAGTGTTTGTAGCTGCATGTTAGTGTTTGTAGCTGCATGTTGGTGTTTGTAGCTGTATGTTAGTGTTTGTAGCTGTATGTGGGTGTTTGTAGCTGCATGTGGGTGTTTGTAGCTGCATGTGGGTGTTTGTAGCTGCATGTGGGTGTTTGTAGCTGCATGTGGGTGTTTGTAGCTGTATGTTGGTGTTTGTCACTGTATGTTGGTGTTTGTCACTGTATGTTGGTGTTTGTCACTGTATGTTGGTGTTTGTCACTGTATGTTGGTATATGTTGCTGTATGTTGGTGTTTGTAGCTGTAAGTTGGTGTTTGTAGCTGTATGTTGGTGTTTGTAGCTGCATGTTCAGGACTGGGCTTGGTCACTGCTGGTATGATAGGCTTGTACACCAGCCCCCTCCTGACCGTACTCAGCATAAGATGCATGTTGAATTATCATCATCATGTGCTGTGCCGGTAAGCATAGGCTGTCATTTTTTGCCATCTCACACGGTCATTAGAATTACAGATCAGTTCAATGTTTTTGACTTACCCCATCTAACTGGCCTGGCCATACTTGTAATCTATTGTGTTGCCTTCCCTTTGCTTTCTTTCCATCAATCTTGTCAGTTGTTACCAAGTTTTCACGTCCATTCCTTCTCATAACATCTCTAAACAAACACATTGACTGTCGACATCTTTTTGTTCTAATAAGTGAAATCAAGACTATTCTTAGATTCTTGAAAAAGGTAGTTTGCCATTGCCTTCCTTCTTGGTAATGACAATACTGGTCTGATGAGCATAGTTATTGTGTCTCTGGGGTGATCCTCTGCCTATCATCTGGTAGCTTGCGATCATGACCATCAACTATTTGTTGGCTGCTCACAAGCTGAATCCACCACCTGCAGGACAAACGCAGCAGGTCAACTCTCCTTACAAGCTAAATCCACCACCTGCATGACAAAGGCAGCAGGTCAACTCTCCTCACAAGTTAAATCCACCACCTGCATGACAAAGGCAGCAGGTCAACTCTCCTTACACGCTGAATCCACCACCTGCATGACAAAGGCAGCAGGTCAACTCTCCTCACAAGCTGAATCCACTACCTGCATGACAAAGGCAGCAGGTCAACTCTCCTCACAAGCTGAATCCACCACCTGCATGACAAAGGCAGCAGGTCAACTCTCCTCACAAGCTGAATCCACCACCTGCATGACAAAGGCAGCAGGTCAACTCTCCTCACAAGCTGAATCCACTACCTGCATGACAAAGGCAGCAGGTCAACTCTCCTCACAAGCTGAATCCACCACCTGCATGACAAAGGCAGCAGGTCAACTCTCCTTACAAAGCTGTACAACCCTTTAGCTTATCTGTTATTGTTATCTGTACTGGTTGTGATTTGTTCCAGAAACTAGAGATTTATATGTGTGTGTGTGTATCTATATATATATATATATATATTTCTGTGTGTGTGAGAGAGAGAGTCACACAGACACATGGCTGGCACATTGTATTGGTTTAGTGTTTGTAAAAACCAAGAAATGATGATAATTAACAGTGATATTTGTCTGACTGTTGTTGCCTCTGTCCCTAGGAGCAGTTGTTGTTTTGTGATGACTGCGATCGAGGATACCACATGTACTGTCTGAACCCACCCCTTAGCGAGCCACCTGAAGGTAAGTTCAGGTTGTAGATGGCATATTGTGTCTGGGCTCTTTCTCAGTGACATATTTGTGTGTAGGACTTGTTGATTGTTTAACAGAGGTGACCTGTCTAAATGTGAGGTCTAGTGATTGTTTAACAGAAGTGATGTGACTAACATGTGAGGTCTAGTGACTGTCTAACAGAGGTGACATGTCTAAATGTGAGGTCTAGTGATTGTTTAACAGAGGTGACATGTCTAAATGTGAGGTCTAGTGACTGTCTAACAGAGGTGACATGTCTAAAATGTGAGGTCTAATGATTGTTTAACAGAGGTGATGTGACTAACATGTGAGGTCTAGTGACTGTCTAACAGAGGTGACATGTCTAAATGTGAGGTCTAGTGATTGTTTAACAGAGGTGACATGTCTAAATGTGAGGTCTAGTGACTGTCTAACAGAGGTGACATGTCTAAATGTGAGGTCTAGTGATTGTTTAACAGAGGTGACATGTCTAAATGTGAGGTCTAGTGACTGTCTAACAGAGGTGACATGTCTAAAATGTGAGGTCTAGTGATTGTTTAACAGAGGTGATGTGACTAACATGTGAGGTCTAGTGATTGTCTAACAGAGGTGACATGTCTAAAGTGTGAGGTCTAGTGACTGTCTAACAGAGGTGACATCTATATTGTGTAGGACTTGTTGATTGTTTAACAGAGGTGATGTGACTAACATGTGAGGTCTAGTGACTGTCTAACAGAGGTGACATGTCTAAATGTGAGGTCTAGTGATTGTTTAACAGAGGTGACATGTCTGAATGTGAGGTCTAGTGATTGTTTAACAGAGGTGACATGTCTAAATGTGAGGTCTAGTGATTGTTTAACAGAGGTGATGTGACTAACATGTGAGGTCTAGTGACTGTCTAACAGATGTGACATGTCTAAAGTGTGAGGTCTAGTGACTGTCTAACAGAGGTGACATCTATATTGTGTAGGACTTGTTGATTGTTTAACAGAGGTGATGTGACTAACATGTGAGGTCTAGTGACTGTCTAACAGAGGTGACATGTCTAAATGTGAGGTCTAGTGATTGTTTAACAGAGGTGACATGTCTGAATGTGAGGTCTAGTGATTGTTTAACAGAGGTGACATGTCTAAATGTGAGGTCTAGTGACTGTCTAACAGAGGTGACATGTCTAAATGTGAGGTCTAGTGACTGTTAACAGAGGTGACATGTCTAAATGTGAGGTCTAGTGACTGTTTAACAGAGGTGATGTGACTAACATGTGAGGTCTAGTGACTGTCTAACAGAGGTGACATGTCTAAATGTGAGGTGTAGTGATTGTTTAACAGAGGTGACATGTCTAAATGTGAGGTCTAGTGATTGTTTAACAGAGGTGACATGTCTAAATGTGAGGTGTAGTGACTGTCTAACAGAGGTGACATGTCTAAATGTGAGGTTTAGTGACTGTTTAACAGAGGTGACATCTCTAAATGTGAGGTCTAGTGACTGTCTTACAGAAGTGACATGTCTAAATGTGAGGTCTAGTGATTGTTTAACAGAAGTGACCTGTCTAAATGTGAGGTCTAGTGATTGCTTAACAGAAGTGACATGTCTAAATGTGAGGTCTAGTGATTGTTTAACAGAAGTGACATGTCTAAATGTGAGGTCTAGTGATTGTTTAACAGAAGTGACCTGTCTAAAGTGTGAGGTCTAGTGATTGTTTAACAGAAGTGACCTGTCTAAAGTGTGAGGTCTAGTGATTGTTTAACAGAGGTGACCTGTCTAAAGTGTGAGGTCTAGTGATTGTTTAACAGAGGTGACATGTCTAAAGCGTGAGGTCTAGTTGGCAGGTACTAGAGGTGAAACAGCCAGTCAGAGAATGCCTCCCTCCCCCCTACCCATGTTTGACTCTGATGAAGATGGCACTGATGTTTGTTGGTGTTTGTCTGCAGGAAGCTGGAGCTGCCATCTTTGTATTGAAGAGTTCCATGGGGGCAAGAAACCGGCTGGCATGAACTGATCTGCTTGCTGACATGTGTGACCTGACTGTCTTGTGTGTTAGAACGTAGCATTGATGAACAAAAATGTGAATAGATAACATTGATACGTACGTACATACATAAGAGACAGCTAGTACTTACTGACTGGAACATCTGGGACTGATCTCCCTATATGCAGCTTTAATGGAGCCCACATGAAGGCCACATGGCAACAGTTGTGTCACATGAAAGCCACATGGCAACAGTTGTGACACATGAAAGCCACATGGCAACAGTTGTGACACATGAAAGCCACATGGCAACAGTTGTGACACATGAAAGCCACATGGCAACAGTTGTGACACATGAAAGCCACATGGCAACAGTTGTGACACATGAGAGCCACATGGCAACAGTTGTGACACATGAAAGCCACATGGCAACAGTTGTGACACATGAGAGCCACATGGCAACAGTTGTGACAAAGTATAATAAAGACTAGGGTAGAAGACAGGGTGGGGGAGGGGGGATGTCAAGGAGCACAATATATATGTGCATCACAGGAGACGGCTTTTTTTTAAAATCCATCATGAAACTTGATTGTCTTTGATGTCCAGAGGTGACTTATAAACCCAGTACGGTCCTAGAGGGACTAGGGCTTCTGACCCCTGTAGCACTGGGCTTGTTGCTGCTGTAGCGCTGAGCCGCTGGCTCCTGTAGCACTGGGCTTGTGGCTGCTGTAGCACTAGGCCGCTGGCTCCTGTAGCACTAGGCTTGTGGCTGCTGTAGCACTGGGCCGCTGGCTCCTGTAGCACTGGGCTTGTGGCTGCTGTAGCACTAGGCCGCTGGCTCCTGTAGCACTAGGCTTGTGGCTGCTGTAGCACTAGGCCGCTGGCTCCTGTAGCACTGGGCTTGTGGCTGCTGTAGCACTAGGCCGCTGGCTCCTGTAGCACTGGGCTTGTGGCTGCTGTAGCACTAGGCCGCTGGCTCCTGTAGCACTAGGCTTGTGGCTTCTGTAGCCCTGGGCCGCTGGCTCCTGTAGCACTGGGCTTGTGGCTGCTGTAGCAATGGGCCGCTGGCTCCTGTAGCACTGGGCTTGTGGCTGCTGTAGCACTAGGCCGCTGGCTCCTGTAGCACTAGGCTTGTGGCTGCTGTAGCACTGGGCCGCTGGTGGCTACTGTAGCACTGGGCCGCTGGCTCCTGAAACACTGGGCTTGTGGCTGCTGTAGCACTGGGCCGCTGGCTCCTGAAACACTGGGCTTGTGGCTGCTGTAGCACTGGGCTTGTGGCTGCTGTAGCACTGGGCCGCTGGCTCCTATAGCACTGGGCCGCTGGCTCCTGTAGCATTGGGCTTGTGGCTGCTGTAGCACTGGGCTTGTGGCTCCTGTAGCACTGGGATTGTGGCTGCTGTAGCACTGGGCCGCTGGCTCCTATAGCACTGGGCCGCTGGCTCCTGTAGCATTGGGCTTGTGGCTGCTGTAGCACTGGGTTTGTGGCTCCTGTAGCACTGGGCTTGTGGCTGCTGTAGCACTGGGCTTGTGGCTCCTGTAGCACTGGGATTGTGGCTGCTGTAGCACTGGGATTGTGGCTGCTGTAGCACTGGGATTGTGGCTTTTGTAGCACTGGGCTGCTAATTGTATAGCACTGGTTTGGACTGTGGCACATGTTCTACTACAGGCTGTCTGTTAGCTATGTATTGTAATGAGTTTGTGTGTGTTGTTATGGTGCACTGATTGTTCTATGTAGAACTGGTTGATTGGTTGTTTTATATAGGTGTGTTTATAAAAACCTTATATTATTTGTTTGATTGTTAGTTTTATTGTAGACCAGTGTCGCAGTAATGAAGTTAGTAAACACAAGTTTAGACCACACTCAATGTACTTGAGAGTTGTGTTCTTGTACCTCCTGTCTACTTCTGTTGTGTTGTGGTTTCACCGTGTCTGTCTTGCCTTCTGTTGGAGCTTAGTTCCTCAGTCAACCTTGTGTTGTGGCTGCACCGTGTCTTGCCTTCTGTTGGAGCTTAGTTCCTCAGCCAGCCTTGTGTTGTGGTTGCACCGTGTCTTGCCTTCTGTTGGAGCTTAGTTCCTCAGCCAGCCTTGTGTTGTGGTTGCACCGTGTCTTGCCTTCTGTTGGAGCTTAGTTCCTCAGCCAGCCTTGTGTTGTGGTTGCACCGTGTCTGTCTTGCCTTCTGTTGGAGCTTAGTTCCTCAGCCAGCCTTGTGTTGTGGCTGCACCGTGTCTGTCTTGCCTTCTGTTGGAGCTTAGTTCCTCAGCCAGCCTTGAGTTGTGGTTGCACCGTGTCTTGCCTTCTGTTGGAGCTTAGTTCCTCAGTCAACCTTGTGTTGTGGTTGCACCGTGTCTTGCCTTCTGTTGGAGCTTAGTTCCTCAGCCAGCCTTGTGTTGTGGCTGCACCGTGTCTTGCCTTCTGTTGAAGCTTAGTTCCTCAGCCAGCCTTGTGTTGTGGCTGCACCGTGTCTTGCCTTCTGTTGGAGCTTAGTTCCTCTCCTTTGGCCATTTCTTGTGCATTCTTCCTTGTGACTGTCTTCATTCAAAATTCTCTTCTTTGTATGTTTGTATGACACCCTGTGAACTCCATTGTCTGTTCACCTGTTTTAGTCACTGATAGACAATCCTAGGCTCTATTTTGTTTTGTACAGTTCATTAATGTGTTGTTTAGTCATGACTGTTCTGTGTTTCTTCAACTTTTTTGTACAGTTAATTAACTCTTTCAGGCCCATGAATTTTGACAGACTTGGCCCACATGAATTTCCCTTCACAAAAATGGCAGAGGGGTGGGTGTACAAGAAAGGCAATAGAGAATGTAATATACTTCTAATCCCTATAAAAGTATATATTTTTTTAAAAAGAGAAATGAATGTACATTTTGTACCTGATGATAAGTTTATAATTTTTTTTAAAATAGTTAGTAGGAAAGAAGAATTCACCGGGTGTTAATTTCACAACAACAACATTTTACAAACAAATTCTTCACTTACCATGGTTTTACAGCCACAAGATTAGTGTATATCCAAATTTGAGAACAAAACCAAAGTTTTTTTCAATTTTTTAACAAATTCAAAAGTTATAGTGAGTTTCTTGGCTAGTTTACTACTCGGGGGATCTTGATTCTCACAGAAACAAGTAATCAAACTATTAGAAAAATTAAACATTGATGGAAAAGATCTGTGAATAATAAAGAATGTGTATTTGCAATGTGGCAAACAATTTCATGGACTAACTGAAATATCATTGACAACATGGTCAAAAATTGCATAGACTAACTAAACTATCATTAAAAATTGCATTGACTAACTAAAATATTAAAAATTGCATGGACTAACTGAAATGTCATTGACAACATGGTATGTGATTTGTTGGACTAACTTAAATGTCATTGACAAAATGATCAGTGATTTCAAGGACTAACTGAAATGTCATTGACAACATGATCAGTGATCTCATGGACTAAATAAAATGTCATTGACAAAATTATCAGTGATTTCATGGACTAACTGAAATATCATTGATAAAATGATCAGTGATTTCATGGACTAAATGAAATTTCATTGGCAAAATGATCAGTGATTTCTTGCACTAATTGAAATATTGACAAAATGGTCAGTGATTTCTTGGACTAACTGAAGTATCATTAACAAAATGATCAGTGATTTCTTGGACTAACTGAAATATCATTGGCAAAATGATCAGTGATCTCTTGCACTAATTGAAATATTGACAAAATGGTCAGTGATTTCTTGGACTAACTGAAGTATCATTAACAAAATAATCAGTGATTTCTTGGACTAACTGAAATATCATTGACAAAATGATCAGTGATTTCTTGCACTAACTGAAATATCATTGGCAAAATGATCAGTGATTTCTTGCACTAACTGAAATATCATTGGCAAAATGATCAGTGATTTCTTGCACTAATTGAAATATTGACAAAATGGTCAGTGATTTCTTGGACTAACTGAAGTATCATTAACAAAATGATCAGTGATTTCTTGGACTAACTGAAATATCATTGACAAAATGATCAGTGATTTCATGGACTAATTGAAATATTGACAAAATGATCAGAGATTTCTTGGACTAATTGAAATATCATTGACACAATGATCAGTGATTTATTGGACTAATTGAAATATCATTGACACAATGATCAGGGATTTCTTGGACTAATTGAAATATCATTGACGACATGGTCAAACATTTCATTGTTTTTAAAGGGGTAGAAAATTATAGGGAAGAGAAGAAAAGGGGTTAAAAAAAATAGTTTATGTCAGCTTTACAAAATCGATTACAATAAACAAACACAGGACGTTGCTGTGATTAGCCTTCATCAGCACATAACACAGCACACATACAGAAATATGCACTAACTATGAAGTGACAATATGGGACTAGAATGTACTAAATAAATGATACTCATCTGTGTCACTGGCAAAAACTTTGTTCAAAAGGATGAACAGGACAGGTACTAACCTATATATCGTCATCGTGCGGACGGGAATTGAAAACTGGGTCAGTATACCTGAGTAATGGGAGGAGTTAATGCCAACAGACACACAAGTGTACAATGAGTGTCCAAAAGGAGGAGCGAGGAGTTAACCAATATGGTGTAACCAGGGTTGGGTCGTGGGGATGACACTAGTACATCCGCATGGGATAAAAGTGGTGCCTATGCTAGCTTAAAAATACCAACAGAAAGACAGGTAGGCAGACAAGCCTGCAGATAGATAGACAGATGGATGGATAGATAGATAGAAAATTTCATAGACTAACTAAAATATCATTGACAACATGGTCAATGATTGTGTGGACTAACTGAAATGTTATTGACAACATGATCACAGATTTAATGAACTAACTGAAATATCATTGACAACACATGGTCAATGACTTTGTTGACTAACTGAAATGTCATTGACAACATGGTCAGTGATTTTATGGACTAACCAAAATGTATTGATGAAATCAATGTCACACTATCTGCCAGAGAAACGACTACGCTGCCAAGGTGGAACTACAAGAAG